GGCTTACTTCTATGGGTCATAATGCAAAACTGTGCTTAAAACCAGCTTTATTATGCATGATAACTATCAAACAGAGATCTGCAGATTGAGAAGAAATTGAATATAGAGTTTTGAAGTGAAGTCCAGTGAGTTAGTATATAATTATTTTACGGTAATGTGAAAACTAACACAGGGTGGACACTATTGGAGAGTAAATTAAATGTTATTGGCAAAATATCTTCTCAGAGCCCAAGTATTAAATAAATTATAGTGGAAGGGATTGTTGGATAATTTTGTGGACTACAAAAGATGGAAAAGGCATTACAAAGCTCTAAAGAAAGGACAAATAATTCACAGAAGTTGTTAATAAAAATTTAAATGTTCAATATTTCTCTGTCTGAAGTCTATGCTACCAAATCAGTTTTCATTATTAGTCACTGACACTAACTATATATTCAACTATACTCAACTTTATTCATAAAAATATTTAATTTCTGTCTGTTTTTCTCTGTAGTCTATAGATAATGATATCTAATCCTGAAATACTTTCCCCACTAACCCAGCTTCTGACAGAGGGGTCAACTCTCTAGTTGTCCAAGCATTGCATAAACTGATACCACATCTGCAATAAACTAAGCACTTAACCATATCTGCAAATAGTTATGCACTTGTGAACTGGCAAAATTTCCCTCTCCAGCACTCCACTATAAACTATGCTGGGGCATGGTCAGCCAGCAGTCTTGTTTTACTGCTGTTTCACCAACACCTAGCATAGTGCCTAGCACATGACAGGTGCTCAATAAATTAATACACGAACTAATGTAACTAAGGCAATTAATTCATGAACAACTAATATATGAACCAAAGAATATAATATTGCAATACAATTAAAAAAACCATCAATACCTAGATTGGTGTCTTGTAAACAATATATGTCAACGGTGTCACATTTGTGCAGCCATATGACATCAAATGTATTCACTACAAATGCTGTCAGTGTACAAAGCATCCAAAGAATAAGAGTGTGGCATTACCAGTTATGATGACTGCTTCATGTAGCAAATATTTATTGAAGACCTAGTATATTATTAGCACTGAGCTAGACACAGTGCATACAAAGATAAGTCAGTGAGAAATGATCCTTTCCTTCACTGGGTCACTTGCCTGCATTTGTATGACTGGCAAGTCATTATTACTTCATCTCCTTGAAAGGCATGAAGGAAATTCCTGACCACATTCTGGGTCACTCCAACCCTACAAGTCTTGGTAAAGGAATGCACCAGGCTATTAAAACAACTATTTTTTTGCTAACACTATATCATGAACAGTTCAATTAGCTTTAAAGAGGTCATCTCTCCCCACCCCCATATCCCCATTTCCGGAGTAGTATCTTTTGCTATACCTTTTTCTCTCGTCTTATATTAAGAAAAACCAAGCTTTCATGGGTAACTTCATAGGATTTATCATCTCCTATTCCTAAAGTAGAAGAGTGGTAGGGAAACTGGTTTTTGGCCCCTGATTATGTTTTCCCATTGCTACCCTAAGTGTGAATTAATTAATACGATCCATCCATTTATATCACATATTTCTCATCACCCCTGATCTTGCATTCTCCTTTAGGATTCACTTTTACCTTCCCAGATATTTCATTGCTTACCTCACATTTTTTTTCTTCCAACTCTCTATTGTTTTTCTTTGACCACATTTCATGCTGTGAGAAATGAAACATAGTGGTCTAGTGCAGGGATTCTGGAGTCACGCTACCTGGGTTTGAATCCTGACTCTACCACTTCCTAACTGTGATTAAGGCAGCTTAACATCTCTGGGCCTTAGTTTCCTCATTTGTAAAGTAGGAGTAATAATAATACCTACATTATAAGGATTAAATAAGTTGAAAGCTGTAAAACACTTAAATAGTAACTAGCTCAGAGAAAGCACTTTATAATGCCAACATCATCATCTTTATCCTTGGTAACATTAATATCCGTGACATGACCTATTGACTTTCAACTTCTGGCCATATTGGCATCACAAATAACTCTACCTTGATCGAACCAGCTCATCACACATCATTGCTTTGCTCTAAGATTTCAAACCTGGTATTAAGTCTTTCTACTTATCATTCTCATTCCTGAAAACTCCCAGAAGTTTCTCTATTCTCTTGCCTTACTTCACCAATTCTCTCCCAATTCACCAAAACATTAGAAACCTCACTTCCCAACCTTTAATTCTTATAAATTCCTAATATGAATGTTCAATTCTTGGTCAGTATAATTTTAATTTCTTCACTCTTCTTTGAGTACACTTAAAAGCTCTCTTCAATGCCTAGAGATTTTATTTTTCCTTTAATAATCAAAATGAGATTCATGTCTTCTATGATGCCTCTCCTATCATACTCAAACACACATGTTCCAGCCCACAATCACCTCCACTCCCCTCTATCCAAACACCCAAACTCACAAACCACACAAATCTCATATACATTACAGAATGACTTATCAGGGCATTTAGTAAGAATCTTCACTTCAATGTTTTTATGTGCATATATGTTACCTCCCCAACTCTATTATAACCTCCTTGAAGGTAAAAGCAACACTAGTGGAAGTGGACAATATTCCAGGTTTTCTTTTAAATAATTTTCTTATATTCACTCATTTAATATTTATAGCAACTCTAAGAAGTAGCTACTGTTATTATCCTCATTTTATATTAATGCACAGAAAGGTGAAGTGAGAGGAAGTGTATTTTTAGCATAAATCTAAGAGGTATATAATAATTACTGAATGAATGAAATTACTCAGTTTTATAATCTTACTCTAGTTTCATGAATGATTTATCAACATCTATCTTAAGATCTTTTTTATAAATATTGCTGAATAAAAGTGTTTCATTTCTACTTCTCAAGACTATAAGACCATGCCAACAGTAGGTGTCCAAACACTTTCTAAGAGTAAATTTGGGAAGACTACCTTTATGGTTTTAGATGCTATTCTGATACCTCTGTGAAAGCATTTGTATTTTACAGTTAGGGTGCTCTTTCTTATACATATACACTTTATGAAATAACTTCTGAGAATAGCATTTATCATATATCTATCTGTTCATACCACCTCTGATTTATAAGCATTGCAATTTAAAAATACCTAACCTACGTTTACTAACAATCAGCTATTAACCAGTTGTGTGACCTTTGGAAACTCAGATTTATGTCTTTAGGACCTGCTTATGTGTAAAAAGAAAGGAGCTGGGCTAGGACAAACTGGCCTTCAGGGGATTCTAAGAGGGTCATTCACTTATAAATTATACTATTCTTAGGAGACTGTTAAGAATGGAGAAAATCATATTAATGCAGAAAGTAATGTTCAAAAAACCAGAACCAGAGTCAGATAATAATGGTTACTCCAATTACCTGCTGGAAAACTGACTTTTCCACACAAAGAACTTCCATCTGTAACTGTGACTAAATGATATCAATGGAAAAGGTAAGTCCATTCTCAGTTGCCCCATTTTCTCAAGTACCTTCTTTTAACAGTAGCTCAATTAATTTAAAATGCAATTAAATCCCCCTGAAGCTGAATACATTCAACATCAGCTAAATACACTCATCTTTTGTGAAAAAAAAATCATATTCTAAAAATATACAAAGCAAATACTTTTTATGAAGAACTCCTTTGAAAGTCTCCTTAAAGTGAAAATTCCCCACTCTCTCCTGCTCTTGAAGTCGGAAAACTCAGAAACTGGAAACAAAAAAAAGCCTACATGACATTTGGATCTTTGGTTCCTTGCCTAGGTGTGATCTCAGCACTCCAGAAGGAACCTTAAACTCCATTTCAGCTGATTATAAAATACAATTATTGCTAGTGTTAAAACATGACTTGGCCGGGCGCAGTGGCTCACGCCTGTAATCCTAGCTCTCTAGGAGGCCGAGGCGGGCGGATTGCTCAAGGTCAGGAGTTCAAAACCAGCCTGAGCAAGAGCGAGACCCCGTCTCTACCATAAGTAGAAAGAAATTAATTGGCCAACTGATATATATATATAAAAAATTAGCCGGGCATGGTGGCACATGCCTGTAGTCCCAGCTACTCGGGAGGCTGAGACAGAAGGATCGCTCGAGCCCAGGAGTTTGAGGTTGCTGTGAGCTACAACGGCACTCACTCTAGCCTGGGCAACAAAGCGAGACTCTGTCTCAAAAAAAAAAAAAAAAAAAAAAAAAAAAAAAAACCCGTGAGCTGATCTTTAAATGTATTGTTATCTTCAAATATAAATGAGTTTGGCTGCTAAGAGTTTAACGTAGGTAGAAAGAGAAATTTGAAGTCTGAAACATACCATGCAAGTCAATCCGAAATCATTAGATAAATAAGTAATTTAAAATTATTTTAAAAACATGAAAGTTTTACTTACAGCAAAGTACTTCTTTAGAAATTATATTACTGTGATGTCCCAAATCTCTCATTTGTTTTAAACCATTCACTTCTATGCTCTTATACATTTACAAAAATAAACTGAACAAAAAATGAATTTAAAAATTTTGTTTAGAATTACCACTAAGTATTACATAAACATGCATATAGGGAAAAGACAAAAGCATGTAGAAATCATATAACTACATCATGTGTAAGTGTGGTATATATATGTGTGTGTATATCAATTTCAACTACTACCAATTTTCTTTTAATCAAAATTTTAAAGTGCTTTATATGTAATAGATACATTAAAAATTACAATTAGAACACAGCTATTTCCTGAAAGCTAAATAGTTAAGAAACAATAGCACTGTCCAACATTATTATGACTTATGTCTAATGAAAGTGTTGATCAAAGAGTATGCAATTATCCAAATACATTCAATTTTGAGTATTATAAATAAAAACACATTGTTAAAACATCATCATATATTTTAAGTTTTATGGAAAACCACCATTTTTTTAGAAGAAATAAGAGACAATTAAAATCTGTAAAATATTAGATGGTCTCCATTTACAATTAAGCCAGTAATAAAGTATTAGGGGAAAGGAGCCTACCTTCCATTGCCCTTTTAAAGAAGACCTTACAGCTCCCACAGGTAAGGACACCATAATGACAGCCTGATGCTTCATCCCCACAGATTAAGCAAATCTTCTGAGGTAAAGACTCGAAGCTGTACTGTGGGCTCTGGCTGGCTTCTGAATCCTGCCTTGAAATGCAAAACAAAGTACTCCAATTATTTTTAGGTGCACCACTATCTAATATTAAAGGTTTCTTAAACCAGCATTATTAACAGGGTGAAAGGAGATTTTTAAAAATAGAACTGCATACACTCACACTTGAAAGACATGCAAACTAAACTTGGTGTAACAGACTACCTGTAAATGGATTCACCAGACTTGCAAATTATTAGCCATTCATCAGTAGCACCAACATAAAATAATAATTAGTGTATAATTTTATCTTCAGGAAAGCTAAAGTCTACTTTCTTAAAAAGAAATCTTTTCTATAAAATTCCTTATATATATAAAAAAAGCAATTTAGTTTTTGACAAACGAAATGTTATGCCCTTCCTGCAGGCTGGGTAGCAATAAACATGGTTTGGCTTTAAGAGTTCAGTCACACTTAGAAAGGCTTCTGTTTTGAGTTTTTAAAACACAACCCTGTAATGGGTGGTGTTTACTTTAAAATGACAAACACATATGCTTGTGTAAGTATTGTTCGACACTGACATTTTTTGCCTTCACAACACATAAGACTCAAAACAGGGCATTTTTTTTTACATTCCATTACTTCACTATGTAAACCAAAATGTTCTGAAAACATGTATTAATAGAAAACTAGCGAATCTCAAGCAATATTAGAAAAAGAGACACTGCAGTGATTGATGTTTAAATCCACAATTTAGCCATATCACACTAAAATCAACTTTCATCTCGAAATTCGTATGAAAATTGAGCCGTTAAATTGTCCAAATGCCTAAGATGGTTCTGCTTTCGGTTCTGCCCAGCCACCGTTCCCCAAGTCCCACTCCTCCTCCCGGGGAACGGTGCCTTAACTCCTCTCCAAGACAGACCTGGTCTCCAGGTAAACGTGCTTCTTCTAAAAAACGAAGCCTTCCATGAAGCCCCCAACCCGCCGCACCCTTCCCGCTCCGCCGGGCTACAGCGGACCGAGTGTGACGCTGCACATTTTAAATCGGGGCTGGTCCTGCTTCGCAGTCTCCAACATTCAGAAAGTTTTTTTTTTTTAAAAAAATGCTTTCGGGGAGGCACGCTCCAGAAATGGCATATTCTGCGCCCTCCTGAGGGTCCCCGACAGAGGGAGGACAAGAAGCGGGAAGCGGGGAGGCAAGCTGCCCGGGCGGCGCCCTGTCCCGGTGCCCACGCCCTCGCGGCCACCCCGAGGAGCGGCCCCGCGCTGGGGGCCGCCCGCCCGCCCGCCACCCCCGAGCCCCGCGGGGCGCGCCCCTCACCTCAGGTAGTTGAGATAGGGCGGGTAGACCGGCGGAAGGCCCTCCTTGAGCACGGCGGCCTGGTAGCCGAGCTGCGGGAGCCCGTTGAGGCCGAGCGGCGGGTAGAGCGCGGGGGCCGCCCCGGCGGCGGCGGCCGAGGTGGAGGGCAGGCTGTCCCGCGCGAGCAGGCAGGCGCCCGCGCCCGGAGCCTTGCAGGGCGGCGGCGCGAATGGGCCCTGCTGGGCCGGCGCGCCCTCCGCCTTGTACAGGATGCACTCTAGGGCCGACCCCGACGAGGACGCGGAGGAGACCGAGGCGCCGGCGGGTGCGGCCGCCACTGCGGGTTCCCCGGGCCTGGAGGGGGGCGCTGGCGGCGGCGGCGGCGCCAGCGAAAACTCCGGGAAGGCTGCGGTATTGGCACCGGCCACCAGGTACGGACGCGGGGGGCGCGCCACGGCCTCCGCGCCTTCCTCCTCCTCCTTGATCTTCAGGGCGGGCGGCTGGAAGTCGCCGTAGAGAGGGAACGCGTCGTCCTTGGGCTCCGCGTCGGGCGGGTACGCGCAGTCGGGGAAGTCGCCTCCCGCGACCGCGGCGGACGGGGCCGAGGGCGAGCCGCGCGGCGGGGCGAAGGCGCTGGCAGCCGCGGCCCCGCCGTCGTAGCTCTCCCCCTCCAGCAGCTGCCGGGTGCGGGCGGCCAGGAAGGCATGGTTGAGAGGCAGGATGGGCACGTGGATGAAATCCATCACCGTGGTGGCCAGCGGGGAGCGCCCGGGCGCCACTGTCGCGTCCTGCTCTGTCGGGGCGACCCTGGGTGCTGGGAAGCGGGAATCATCCTTGGGGGCGAGGCCGACGCTTCCCGCGGCCGCCCCGGGCGCTGCGGCTGCGGCTCCGGCTCCTCCTCGGGCCGCGGTGCCTCCCAGAGCTAGAGGTTTGCCCTTCAGAAGCGGACCCTCCGAGTCCTCGGACTCGGAGCTGTCCTCCTCCTCCACCACCTCCACCGTCGCGGGCTGCGGAGACGGCTTCACTGGGGCCCCGGGCCAGTGCGGGCTCCCAGAGGAGGGGAGCAGCAGCTGCCCGGACGGCGACAGGCCCCTGGGCGGCACCTTGTGGGCAGCTGCCGTCCCGGAGCTATCTCCAGCCTTGCCCGCCGGCCGGCTCATGAGCTGGGCCAACACCCCCTGGGTGGTGGGGGCAGCCCGCGAATCTTCGGGAAGCTGGAGGCCAAACAGGCACCACGAGCTGGTGGCCTCGCAGGCAGGAGGGCTGGCGTGGCTCTGCCCTGGACCTGAGGGCTCCAGAAGAGTGTCCAAGACACTGTCCAGCAGCCCTCGGTCCTTTTCTGGGAGTCTAGAACTGCAGCCTCCTGCACCCCTTGTGGCTTCCGCTCCGGAATATAAGCCCTCCACGCCCGACGGCGACTGCTGGGCCTGAGTCTTTCCGTTTGGGGGGTCCTGTCCCTGGCAGGGCCGAGGGAACAGCAGCCCGTCCAGGGAGATGGGGATGGCCGAGACTACAGGCGAGGCATCCGAGGTCTGGCTCCCCTGGAAGGGGTCTGGGTCTGGGCGATCCAGCAGAGGGGATCCGACCTCGCCGGGGGAGGGCACGCTGACCGCCACGTGGGGAGCCCGGGGATCCTTTGCCTTCAGCTCAGTCATGACGACCTGGACTCCCCTTTTCTCCTCCCCCGGCTCTAGGGAGGAGGGAAAAGGGGAAGGAGGGGTTGTCGAGAATATAGTGGCAGAGGGAGGAGAAAATGGGTGTTGAACTTGGCCGGACCCCGGGGATCTCCACCTCCTGAGTCGGGGGTGGGGGAGGGCGGCGCTGGTCAGCTCCTGTCCTTGCCCTCCATCCTGTCGTCAGGGGAAGCGTGGCGGTCGTTACGTCCCAGCAGCGAGTGGGGCGGGCAGGAGAAGGTAGTTGTAGGGATCTGTCTCCTAACTGGGAGGGTTCTCCAAAAGAGTTCTCCGGCTTCTGTCCCAGGAGAGGGGACGCAGAGTACTCACAAGTTCCGCGCTGGAGTGGCTGCGGCTGCGAGAGCAATGCAGTTACGCGCGGCTCATCTCCCGACTTTTCCTTTGGCTTCAAACCCGTGCATGCCATGAAGCTCCTAGTCCCTGACGGCGTTCCACTGCCCCCTTCTCACTAAACCCTGGGGCTAGTCAGACCTCGCCGTTACAACCCATTCTCAGGAAGAGTCGTGCTTCAGCCGGCTCCCAACAGCAGATGACAGTCATCTCTGCAGATTCCCAGTTCTCAGCAGTCTTGGAGGACGAGCCGCCGCTGGTTGCAGAGTCCACTCAAAGGCCAGGTGCAGCTAGTTCTCATTGAGAATGCCACCAACACAGCGGAGTCCTCTCACACTCAAATACAACAAGGCTTAACCAGATTAGTGACAGCGGTAGACTGGCTCCCCTGCTTTCTAACAACGCCTCCTCCCTCTTTGGAGGCCCCGCCCAAAGCCCCTCCCTACACCAGTTACGGACCAGATCTGAAACTCTGGAGTTGGTATTTCCACCTGCTAGTCTGAATTCCACTCTGAAGAGCAGGTGCTTTGGGATGGAACCTCATAAGCATGTTAGATTTTGTGCTACAAATTAAAAATTATGCCCAATCTAATTGGAAAAACGATTCGATTCTATCAGAAGCAGAATTTGTGTAAATCTTTTTCAGATTTCAGTTTGGTAAATATTTAACACAGAGGGAGAAATTTGGCTATATTATCTTTTGGAATAATAAGCGTATCAAAGATCATCCTAAATACTTTAAAACTGATTCTGTCACTTATGAATTCTATAAAAGTGAGTGCTTCCAAATTTCTCTTGAACAGTCTTCAATGTGACAGAGAAGTTTGGAAGTGGAAGACAGTTGGTGACACTTCTCTACCTGTGCAGGACATTTGGATGTTGTGTGCCATACTTTGATTTGTCCTAAGGAATGTGTTCCAATTTCTAAAATATAGCACTTTAAGGAAAGTTTCTTTTTGCTCCAGTTTATGCCCTGTGCTACATCACAGAATCCTCGGTAGAGATGTTGAACAGTATTTTTCTCCTTTCAATAATCTCATTGTTAAAAATAGTTGTCCCTGAGATTTTTAAACAAAGCACCTCTAAATTCATGAAGACAGTAGAGAGAGAGATATTATAATATATATTTCAGATACAGAGTCATAAACTAATAATCTATTTGCCAAACCCAAGACTACTGGGTATTTTGACATCATCTTAAATATATACTATTCAAAATGGAGTTAATTGTTTACAGATTTTCTTATAGGACCCAGGGCTCCTATTTATACTGATGCCCACAATTTGTATCAGCTGGTTATAGAGGATAACAAGGAAGACTCCAAGACTCCAGAATGAGTGGAGCCACTAGAAGGTAAGAAGCCTGGACCCACGAATCACCTAGGAGAGACTACATGAGTGAGAAATAAACCTTTATCATGCTAAGCCATTGGGTTTTGGAGTTTATTGTTTTAGCAATTAGTTTATTCTGACTGACTAATTTTAGATATAGGGAGTTAGGCAGGTAGAAGAGGGGTAAAGAGAATTCCAGCAAGCAGGAATAATATGTTCATAGGGCATTAAATAGTAGTAAAAAAAAGTCATTTTCTCAAAAAGACACTTTCACTCAAATGTTTATTGCTACACGATTCACAATTGCAAAGATGTAGAATCCACCCAAGTGCCCATCCATACACGAGTGTATTAATAAAATGTGGTATATGTGTACCATGGAGTTCTACTCAGCCATAGAAATATGGTAAACTAATTCATACCTTTTGTAACAACCTGGATAGAACTGGAGACCATTCTTCTAAGTGAAGTATTTGCAATAATGGAAAAACAAACACTACATATACTCACTATTAAATTCGAACTAATCAATCAACACTCATGTGCACATATGGTAGTAAAACTCAACAAAAATCAAGCAGGGGAAGCGGGGAGGAGGGAATGGTTAAATTCACACCTAACAGGTACAATGCACACTATCTGAGGGATGGACACACTTGTAACTTTGACTCAAATGGTACAAAAGCAATGTATGTAACCAACATGCTTGTGCACCTGTAATATTCTCAAACAAATTAATAAACTTAAAAAATTGACAATTGGCCTCATTTTAAATCTGACAAACTATTTGGCTTAATTTTGGTTGGTTATAAAAATTCTCTTAAGCCAGACAATTTGATTTGGTTGTTTACATAAGATTGAAAATCTTCAAGTGGGAAAACAATAATAAAGATGCCCAGAATGTCCTGAATCAGCATTATTCCATGAAATCTGATGCTGAGTTATAAGCAATGTTGGCACAGGAACTCCCCAAATATATGAATCTTTGAATGAAACAGAATTCACAGGTTCAATTCAAGCATGATGGGACCAACTCTATATATCCTGAAATTTAGTTTTAGAGAAGAATATTTAAATTTGGAAACTTTTTTCCCCTACAGTTTGAAAAAATGCTTTATTAAAAAGTGTAACTGATATACAACAAGCTGCATATATTTAAACTGTACAATTTGTTAAGTTTTTCTTTTTCATTATATTATGGGGGTACAAATATTGTTAGGGTTACATATATTGCCCCTGCCACCCCTCAATTTGTTAAGTTTTGACTTATGTATATACCTGTGAAACCATCACCACAAGCAAAATGATAAGCATACATTTTTGCCTCCAAAAGTACCTTGCGCTGCTTTTTAATCCCTTTATACTGTTCTTTCCCTTCCCCTTCCTCTACTACCATCACTACTCCCCCAGCAACCACTAATCTTCTTTCTGTCACTATATATTAGATGTTTTAATTCATATTTATTAAGCATTATATTAAATATATGCTTTTTAGGTCTATTTGCCTTAAATTTAAAAATTTTCAGAACAGTTTTAGATTTACAAAAAATTGAGCAGATTAACAGAGAATGCTTATATATCCTTTGCACACTGTGTGTGCTATTACTAGCATATTAATAGGGTATATTTGCTACCATTAATGAGCTAATATCGATACATTGTTAAATTTTAATTTCCTTAGTGTTTACCTAATGTTCTTTTTCCCTTCCAGGATCCTGTTCAAGACACCATTTCACTGTGTCGTCAAGTCTCCTTAGGCTCCTTTTGGCTGTGGGAGTTTCTCAGACTTGCCTTATATTTGATGACCTTGACAGTCCTGAGAGTACGGTGAGGTATATTGTAGTATGCTCCTCTATTGGAATGTGATATATTTATTCCTCATGAGTAGACTAGGTGACGAAACGGTTTGGGGGAGGAAAATCAAAGAGGTAAAGTGCCATATTAATCACATCGTATCAAGGGTACATACTGTCAATATGACTTATGACTGTTAATGTTGACCTTGATCACCTGGTTGAAGTAGTGTTTGTCAGGTTTCTCTACTGTACAGTTAATTCATTTTCTCCTCTTTCCATACTGTACTCTTTGGAAGGGAGTCACTATGAGTCACTTAAGGAGTGTGGAGAAGTGGGGAATTAGCCATACTTTTATAGTGGAGCATTTACATAATTTATTTGAAATTCTGCATGGAAGATTTACCTGTTCTCATCCATTCACTACTTTATTCAGTCTTTTATTTATGTCAATATGGACATACTTTTTATATTGGAGCATCTACATAATTTATTTGAAATTCTGTATGGAAGATTTACCTATTCTCACCCATTTGCTACTTTATTCAGTCTTTTATTTAATATCAGTATGGACTCAGGGATATTTGTTGCTCAAATTGTTCTAGCTTTGGGCACTGGGAGCTCTTACAGTTGGCTTCTGTGCCCCTGGCATGCTCCCATTATTGTGTGTACACACTTTCTTACTTTCTGATGTTACAAGTTACACAGACACATGTTGTATATTTCCTGTTAAGGTCTTAGAATCAGCCATATCTCCAAGGAAGTTCAATTTGTTTTATCAAAAAATGATATTATAAATGAATACCTGGGTGCTGAATGTGGTGTTCTACATTGGTTTTTATTTCTTAGAATTTGTATATTATACAGTGTATTCTTTTTCATCCTGTTTCTTTTACTCATCATAATTATTTTGAGAGTCAGCTATAGTAGTATGTATTAATAGTTCATTCTTTTTATTGCTAAATAGTAGTCCATTATACGGACCATAGTTCGTTTATCCATTTACCTGTTGATGAACATTAGGGTTGCTTCCAATTTTTTGATATTACAAGTAAAGCTACTTAAGAGAATATGTGTACAAGTCTTTGTATGGACATATGTTTCCATTTTTCCTAAGTAAATATCTAGAAATTAAATGGTTGGATAATTAGTGGGTGCTGTGGTCTGAATGTCTGTATTCCCCAAAATTCTTACATTCAAACCTAATCAGCAATGTGATGGTCTTAGGAAGTAGGGTTGTTGGGAGGTTATTAGGTCATGGAGAGTTGCCTTGCTCCTTCCATCATGTGTGGACACAGTTAGAAGGTACCATCAATGAGCCAAAAAGCAGGCATCACCAGACATTGAATCTGTCACTTTGGTCTTAGACTTCCCAGCCTACTGAACTATGAGAAATAAATCTCTGCTGGTTATAAGCTGCCTAGTTTATGATCTTTTACTATAGCAGTGTAATTAAACTAAGACAGTAGGTATACATTTAACTGTCAAACAATTTTCCAAAGTGGTTGTATCATTTCACATTCCCACTAACATATTAGAGTTCTAATTCTTCCATATCTTAGATAACAATTGGTATGGTCAATACTTTTAACTTTAACAATTCTAATAGGTGTGTAGTGACATCTTATTATGGTTTAATTTGCATTTCCCTAGTGACTAATGGTGATCATTTTTTTCAGATGCTTATTAGCTGTCTGTATATATTCTTCTTCTGTATATCTGTGACCATTCAGAACTTTTGTGTGCTTTTTGTAAAAATCAAATTGTCCATCTCCTTATCATTGAATATTTAGAGTTCTTTATGAATTCCAATACATATCTATTGTCATTTATGTGATTTGAAAATATTTTCTCCTAGCCTGTGGCTTGTCTTTAACTTCACTTAATAGTGTCCTTTAAAGAGAAAATATTTTTAATAGTCATAAAGCCCATTTTATCAACTTAGATTTTTATGAATTGTGCTTTCAGTGTCATTACAAAATAATATTTGCCAAATGCAGGGTCACAGGTTTTCTGTCACATTTTCTTTTGTTCTTATAGTTCTAGGTTTTACATTTACATCTATGATACATTTTAAGTTACTTTTTCATGTGACATGAGTTCTACATCAAAATTTACTTTTTTGCATGCGGATATCCAGTTGTCCCAGAACCATTTGCTGAAAAGAATATCATTTCTCACTAATTGCCTTTGTACCTTTGTTGAAAATTAGTTGTTGATATATGTGGGAGGGGTCTGTTTTTGGACTCTCGATTCTGTTGCATTGTTCTCTTTGACAGTTTTTATATCAATACCACGTTATCTTGCTTGCTGTAGCATATAGTAGGTCCTGAGTACTTGAAATGTTAGTGCTCCAACTTTATTTTTTCTTTTTCAAAATGGTTTCAGTTGTTCTAGGTCCTTTGCATTTCCATATAAATTTTAGAAGCAGTTTCTCAATATATGCCTAAAAGGCCTCCTGCAATTTTGATTGGGATTGAGTTGAAATTATAGTTCAATTTGGAGAGAACTGACTTCTCACAAGTACTGAGTCTTCCAACCTATGAAGGTAACACATAACTCCTTTTTTGAGGTCCTTATTTTCTCTCAGCAATGTTTGGAAGCTTTCAGTGTACATATCTTTTATATCTTTTGTCAGATTTATCTCCAATTATTTCATATTTTTGATGGCATTGTGAATGGTATGTATATTAGTTATGTATTGCTGAGTAATAAAGTACCACAGATTTAGTGACTTAAAACCACACCCAGTTATCCTACGGTTTCCATTGGTCAGGAGTCTGGGCATGGGTTAGTTGGATCCATTGCTCAGGGCATCCATGACTGCAATCAGTGGATCTGCCAATGCTGTATTCCCATCTGAGGCTCAGGGTACTCATCCATGCTCATTCAGGTTTTTGGCAGTGTTCAGTTCCTGAATGCTGCAGAACTCGCGTGGCTTCCATCTTCTTTAAGGTCAGCAGGAGAATATTTTACTCATGCTTTTTAAGAGTTTCTGAAGTTAGACCACCCAGATCATTTGCATTTCAATTCAAAATAAACTGATTTGGGATCGTAATTGCATCTTTAAACTTCGTTTTTTTCATAAATGTAACATAATCACAGGAGTGAAATCTATCATATTGACAGTCTTATCCACCTTCAAGGGGAGGCAATTATACAAAGCCTATATAACTGGGGGCAGGAAATTTGGAGATAATTCTATAATTATACTGAATTTATGCTTTATATTATACTTTTTTAGTGTTTATACAATTTACTGTTTATTTGGAGTGATGAGGGTAGGCATCCTTGCCAGTTTGTTGATTTTAGGGGAAAGAAGCCTTTTAACATTAAGTAAGATGTTTGCTGAAGGTTTTTTATAGATGCACCTTCTTAGGTTGAGGAAGTTCACTTCTATTCACAATTTTCTGAAAGTTTTATTAGGAATAGATGTAGGTTTTTGTTAAATGATATTTCTGCGTCTGTTGCGATAATCATATGGTTTTTCTTTTTTAGTGTCTTAATATGGTGAATGACATTAATTGAGTTTTGAATGTTAAACTAACTTTATATTCCTTGGATAAACCCCACTTCATCATGATGTAATATTTTTATATATTACACTTGACTTGTTAAAAGCTTATTTAGAATTTTTAAATTCCCACTTAGGAGGAATACTGGTCTATTGTTCTCTTATAACAACCTTGTCTGGTTTTGTTATTATGAATTTCAAGTTACATACATGGTATGTTTTCATATGAATAGAATAGAATAAAAAGTACAATGATATTTAGGGTCTCCATAAATAAATGTATTTTGGTACAAGCTGCTCTTTGGTGTTAGCTGTCCACTATGGCAGTGAGCATAGCATGCAAAGAAAGCCATGAATCTTCCTTAAACTTGAAAAGATGATTCACTTTTGTCATGTCTGCTTTTCAGTTTTTATAGTGAACTAAGGAATCATTCCTTTATTTCACAAATATCTTCCTACACTATGTCATTAAACACCTTGCTTTGTATTTTATTTTCTAAGATATACATTTTTTCACTATCACATATAATGCCCATTAAACTTCATGACATAAGTGTTATTACCTTTATTTTACAGATAGGGAAATTGAAGCCTGAAGACTTAGAATTAGTTATTAGTAGTCGCAAAACTCACTACTAGGGCTTCTGTTATAAAATCTACTGCTATTTTCACCCTACACATTGTGTTTCTCTATTTTGTATGGTTCAAAGTATGTTCAAAGTATGTACAGTTCAAAGATAATTGACAAGGTTCATCGAATAATGTAGAAACATTTACTTGACCTGAGGACCCAGAATTGTGAACACAGTCAGAAAGTCATATTGGGCCACCTAAACCTATGATTTGGTTAGTTTGAAATTTTTTGTTGTCTATACAACTTTGATAAATAGGATTTGATATTTGTCATTCTAGCTTGAGGCAATCCTTACATATTTGCAAAGAGATAATTGTAGGTGAAAGTTGGGTTTGATACAAACTACAAAGGAAGGAGGATACAAAGGCCATTTCTCAGACCTTCCTGACACTCTAGTTTCTGAATCCAGTGCCCCTTGCAACTCCTGGGTTATTCATGCCCCTCCACCAATGAAGTGACTACCCCCAAAGTGTACCTATTTTGTTTCTTTTTTTATACCCATGTCAAGTAGGATATATTTTGGCATCAAGTAACATGGTACTTAAGAAAAAGTGACTTACATAATAGATGTGTACTATCTCACATGACAAGAAGTCTGCAGGAAAGGAGTTCTAGGGTTCATTAATCAGTGGCTTAGTAATGCTCTCAAGGCCCCAGAATCCCTACCTTTTCAGTCAGTTACCCCGGAGGCTTGGGTTTTGTTTTCTTCCTTGTTTCCTAGCATCCAAAGGTAGTTACTGAAGCTGCAGGTATCAGAACCTCACATAACCTCCTCCAAAATTAGAACTAAAAAGAGTTTCTCTTGACACTTTTTTTTTTAATCAGGGAAGAAGAAAATCTTACCCAGAATCCCACTCCATAGACATCCTATCAAGACTTATTGGCT